AAATGCACGATAGAATTAGATAGATTTTGATTTTGTACCAAATATCTCATAGAGCTCTGAAATGTCCTGTATAAACCTTTTACGAGAGCTCTACTAAATATGCATAGTGGTGTAGGGTATCATATAGTCGGCCCGGCCCGACTTTTGAGCTTTCCTTACTGGTTTTTTTTATTGTAGTTTGTCCATCGACCATGTGAGCTGATCTAACTTAATCCACGCGAACTTGCATTCTACACAGACCAATAAAACCAGAGAGTTGGGTTCTTTTTCGTAACCATATCTGTATAAAAATGTAGAAAATTCTAAAATTATATTTTTTATTGTAGTTTGTCCATCGACCAATTTTCAGGCATTTGAGCTGATCTAACTTTAATCCACGCGAACTTGCATTCTACACAGACCAATAAACCAGAGAGTTGGGTTCTTTTTCGTAACCGTATCTGTATAAAAATGTAGAAAATTCTAAAATTATATTTTAACGAAATCGTTCTATTACACGTTCACAATGTATGACTTTGAGTGGCGATATTTTCATATGCTTGATAAGAAGTAACATGATCAAACATGAATCATTTTATGGTATACTTATAATAAACATTATAAAACTAACAGCGTGAATGTTCGGAACTGGGAAGAAACCCTCGAGCAGATGTGTAAAAAAACAGAATGAAACAAAATATTTTCAAAACACTAATGTGCATGCAGATCGTTTATTTGTAAAATGAATATTTCAGTTCATTCATAAAAATACAGCCACCCAGCAAACAATTTTTAAGATGTCAGCATTTACGCAATATGTTTGACATTTTTCCGGAACATCTATCAAAAACTTGATCTAAGGTCTAAGGAAAAATCTTTTACCACCGCAGGAAACTATTTAATATTCTCCTTTTCTTGATTTAAAGAACGTAAGTATTTGTTGTTGCACAGTTATGTTTCCATTATTTTCGTTTTAGAGTGTGACCAAAATAGGTGCATTCATGTCTCTAGATCTCTTTTTTTCCTGTCCAAAGAAATAAATGTTTCATGTGAGACAACACATTTTTTAAATTGTTTAAAGGATTTCCGAACAAACCTCTGATAACTTAGTCTGAACTCTGAAAATTTGGTTTGCAGAGTTGTCTACCAATCACACACACATCATATCATAATCAAAGCTATCTGAACAATGTGCAGTGGGAGACTAAATGAAGACAGAAACATTGGGGGGGAAACCGCCACCCCAATGAAAGAGAATACAAAACTGAATGCAAAAAATAAAAACCCTTCACATCTATGAAGTGAACGTAAACATCGACAATGTAAGTGAACACTGCACGCCGCAAACTTGCCGAGATGTAATGGAATCTGCTGAACAATAGCTATGGAATGTTGAAAAGTTGAGTTGCAGAGCATGGTGAGATAGCCAAAAACAATAAAAGAACAGAACAGACTCCGCAACATCTTTCTAATAAAATAACAATCATCAATGTATTCATAATCGTCGATTTCAAATACAAATTGAGTGGATTTACGTCGACAAGAACAACAACAAGCATTCAGCTTCCATTTTTTATACACATACATGCCCTTAAGTTTTCACAACTTTATGTGTGTATACTTCAAATTTATTGTATGGACTATACGGAAAATTAATTTTTCATGTACGAAGGTACAATTAATTTTTCATTTAACAATGAGTAATCTTAAAAATGTGAAGTACATACTTCCAGAAACACCTACTTATATCAACGCTACTACGCAATTTTAATTTTTATACCAAATATCCTTCAACAAAATACCCAGAGGCACGAAATTTAGTGATTCCAGTACATTTGTTACACATCTAATCCGAATTTTCAAAAACCAGCCTTATTACACATTTTCTTATCTAAAATCTTATTTCCAAATTTTAAGATTCCAGTCCTATCGGTTCATCCAAATCCAAAATCCATTTCCATTGTACCAAATCCAAATCCATTGTACCAAATTTAGTACCATTTAGTACACATAAGTACGAATTTCCAAAGCTCCCTAACAACACACTTATATTGACCCTACTTCTCAAGCTTGATTTCCACTCAAAATTTTATGTTTTTAGCTCCAACCGTTCACATGATACGAAATAGTACAAAGTATTGTATATTTTAGTACACGAATTTGTAACTTTAGCCGTTTCGTCTGGGCATCTAAATGATTAAGTCAGCCAGTCAATTAATTTACTCTTTTATTAAAATAGATTGTTAATAATATCTTTGGTAGGTGTGGTACCAGGGGGAGTAGACCAACATATCTCATATTTATATTTGATCTATGGTTGGCCAGAGTTGGCCAGTATTGTCCATTTTCACCACCGTTCAAGCACTGATACAAATAATAGGATTTGCAAAGTTTAAATAAAATTGCATGAATTTTTTCTAAGCAAATTTTGTCCGAAAACTTGAATTCCGGCAAATAATGTCGCCAAACTCATCAAAACGCCAAATAAAGGGAGGTACTGTTATATGGTACCTATGAGAAAACGTGGGCCTGCATAAGTAACTTTCACAGTCTGTAGCACCCATTTCGAACTAAATTTGAAACATTTCTAGTGGATAATATCGTTTAAATCATCAAAATATCGAATGTAGGGAGGTACCGTTATATGGGGGCTATACAAAATGTGGGACTATATATCCCGGTTTCAATACCCAAAGTCCTGAAGACCTAACACACATCTGAGAAAAATGTTATCAACCTACTTTGTTTTGTTCGGAAGCTAGGGTGATTTTTACAGATGGACGGGCATCAATAAATCGGTATAGAATTTTATGCTGATATATACATTTTGGGGTTTAATATGTATATATCGAGGTGTTACAAACGGTATGACAAACTTAATAGACCCCTGGTGGAGAGTAAAGAAATATTATGGTGTAACAAGTTTGAACGGAATCGGATACTCCCTTCCAGGAATCGAGCCAGACTGACAGTAAGATGGACATAGCTAGAGCGATTCCAAGTATCCAAAAACAGAGTTTGTCCAAATAGACATACAGGGTGAGATAAAAAAACTGCATTTTAAAAACTGAATTTTAGAATAAGTTTAGATTTGTTCTAATTGGTCACCATTTGCACAAATTATGGCCTTGAATCGGCCAATGAAACCGTGACGCACTGACCGAATGTTACTCTGCGGTATTTTGGTCCATTCCCGGCGAAGCGCTTGCTTGAGGTGTTCGACACTTTGGTATTTTCAAATGCCAACCTTGCTTTCCAAAATACTCCAGACACAATAGTCCAACGGATTGGTATCCGGAGATTTTGCTGGCCATTGTGCGCTGGACATGAAGCGAGAAACCTCATTTTGTAACCATTCTTGGATGGTGCGTGCTGAGTGCGATGGTGCTGAGTCCTGTTGGAATGTCCAAGGTCTGCAGCAAAAATGTTTGCGTGCACAAGGCTATAATACGGCCTTCAGAATATTTTCGCGATAATTCACGATCATTTTGTTTGTTTACAAAATGCTGGACATACCATAGTATTTTGTTGTATACCATAGGTATACCATAGTATTTTGTTGTTGCAAAATGTTCAGGCTTAATCCCTTTATTGTTATTTTTATACAAATAACGTTTGTTTATTAGTGGAGAACGGTGATAATGTTTACCAGGGGGTAAGGCAGTAATACCTTGGTTTCGGAAAGAGCCGCCAATCCTCATCACTTCCTTTCTTTTTTGTCTGGGATATTCTCCCCAGAAGTTATTTTAAAAATAACTTCTATGACAAAAAAATTGTGTACCCAAGTGACGAGGTCGTAAGCTCAATAGAAGAGGAGCCAAAAAATTAAATAAAACTAAAATTCTTTTGGAAAATCTTCTAAATCTTACAACAGCACTTATAAACATTAACATCTTTCTTCACTTGTTATGCTTTCGTTCTACCTGAACGAAGTAGCATAACCATGTAAGTTGGTTTTGTCCGTTACAACAAAAACTCCTTCGTCGACTGTGCCTGGTCTATTAATAGAACAGTGTTGGCTTTTACAAAGAAACAGAAAATGTTTCTTTTCTTACACAATTTCAAAGAAATTGTCTTCATGACCACACAACGCCTACACCTTCAAATGTACTGACCCAACTTATGGCTTTTTTAATTTTGCTATGTCTATAATTGAATATCATCATAATATCATAAAACAAGTAATAAAGCTGTAAGTTCGGCCGGGCCGAACTTTGAATACACTCCACCATTTGGAACGAATTTGGCAATTCTGTTAAAATCTTTAAAAATGCCGAATGTAGCTGTTATATTAGGGTCTATATGACGTCATGGGCCTGCAAAGGTAAATTTGTCATAAGACAATTTTCTGTCTTTCTGTCTAAGACAATTTTCTGTCTTAGCTGTAGTATCCATTACGAACTTCAAACACCAAATTTGAAACAATTCCGGTGAATAATGTCGCTCAAATCATCAAAATACCGAATGTCGGGAGGTCCCGTTATATGGGGGCTATAACAAAACGTGGACCATTTTCAATACCAAAAGTCCTGCAGATATAATATACGTTTGAGTAAAATTTTATCAATCTATTTCAATTCTTTCGGAAGCTATATTTATTATAGAATTTTATGCGGATCAAAAATATATATACTTTGTTGGGTCCATTCTGGTTGCAAATGGTCTAAAATGTATATTTCGAGTTGTTACAAACAGAATGACAAACTTAATATACCCTCCATACTATGGTGGAGGGTATAAAAAAACTTCTGCCTTCCCAAGTTCTCCCCAATATATTTCTTTTACAATATTTTTTCCGCGGAATTGCCTTGTTATAATAGTTACCATTATACTAACGACTTTTTATATAATATTCTGTTTCAGCTTATTCACAACAAAAAAAAATAAAACTGTGCAATTATATTAGTCTCGTAAGCAAGTCTTTTGAGAATTTAACATCGCTCATGTCCATTATAATCTCTTTAGCCTGCTAAAGTATTTCTGAATTTTTCAACTTCAATTTTTATTTAGTTGTAAGCGATATGTCGAAGCTTACACTGTCGTTCATTTTAATATTCACAGTGCACATTCAATCGGAATCAATTTATCATGTTGTGGAGAAACTCCAGGAAGAATTCGATATTTATACCTTGTTACACTTTGCAAGCAACGGAACTGTTGATGCCTTCAATTCCCCAAATATACCTCAAGTGGTCATCGGAAATGAAACAGCCACCGATTTGAGAGGATCTCAAGGACAAAGGGTCTTGAGTTTCATTCGACTAGATGAAATTGGTCTCGGAGAGTTGAATGAAATCATTAAACCTTCGTTACTGAATCTCCATTTGGCCGATATTCTATTTTACACCAATACAACTTGGTCAGAAGCAAACGAATGGCAGTGGCTTTTTGAGTGGTGTTGGGTGGAAGGATTCTGGCGCATCTTGTTAATGAATGAGGTGGATCAGTTTCTGTCCATGGATTGTATACCGGAAATGAGCATAAAAAGTGTAACTCTCAATGAGTATCTTGCCATGAGAAAACATCGGGTCAAAAACCTACAGGGATACCCCGTGAAAGTGGCTGTCGGTCACAGTCCACCGCGTGTAAGCGCCTTCTTCGATGATGAGGGGATTTTACAATTGGGAGGCTTCTATGGTACCATTGTAAACATGTTCATTGAACAATTCAATGCCTCGATGGACTATGTGCTAATGCCAAATATGTCCACATATTCCGTCCTAAGTTGCATAGATTCTATTTTGGAACAAAGTTCGGATATTTGCAGTGATGCCATTTTGTATGGCAATGGCATTGAAACCACTCGGCCGCTGTACGTTGTATCGAGCCATTTGGTGGTGCCCTTCGATAAGCCCCTGGAAAATTACAATTATTTTCGTAAGCCGTTCACCATTGACGTGTGGTTTTGCATTTTAATAACTTTCGTATCGACCGTCGTACTGCTGATGTTAATCGAATACAAGGAGTATGGCCATCTGCGCTTGGTCAATAGTATCTTTACGACATTTTCGAGTCTGATAGGCGGCTCGTTTAGTGTTGAGCATTTTTCGGACAAGTACCACTATGGTCTGGAGACAATTTTAATTTTTAGCGGTTTCATGCTCTCCAACTACTATTTGGCTGTTCTATCGTCTCTATTACTTACAAAAATCTATGAGAGAGAAATAGAGAGTATACAAGATGTTTTGAGTCACAACCTAACAATTATGACCACCGAATTCCAGCAGTATGTTTTGGAGGTAACTAAGGCACCGGAGCAAATAAGGCAGCAGACGGTGGTCTTCTCCGAGGAAGAGGCTGTGGATAATATGCGAAAACTAAATACGGAATATGTTTATTTTGGAATAAATGCCGAAATCGATTTCTTTCTGTATCAGCAGAAATACTTGTCTCGACCCCGAATGAAGAAATTGGCAGATGAGGCGGTGACTACCGACATTGGTGAAATTCCAATGCGTGCCTATTGGCCGCTGCAGGATCTGCTCATGTCCCATATGGAAAATGTCTTCTGTAGCGGCATAATAATGTATCTCGAGACGGAAACTTTTGAGGAGGGCATACGTCGAGGCGATATATCCTTTATACCGAACCGAGATTTATATGTTGAGCCTTTGTCATTGGAATATTTCGTTTTGTGTGGATTACTTTTGGCCGGCGGTTATTCGTTGTCCGTGTTGTGTTTTGTGGTAGAAATTATTGTTTACAAATATCGTGGAAAGAAATAAAAGAGCTATATAGAACAGAATTTCATAATCTATTTTAATATATGGAACTTAAATAGGGCTATAATTTATCAGGAAACGATTTGGAATTTCGTACTAGAACTGTACCAAAGGTATTAAAAGATATTGAATGTGATACCCCTTGTTTTTGACGATCCAGTAGAGCTAGAACTCTTAAACTTCAAATGGAGGTCACTGATGAAGTGTATGATGGATGTAGCAAAGTGTTCTCGGAAATTCGTGTTATAAGTGTACGAAAAGTACCAAAATGTACTACACTTAGTAAATTTGGAATCATATTAGAGCTAAAAGTAGGATTGGGATATTGAGGTAGTTTTCAAAAATTGTACATGTATATGGTACAATTTCGATTTCAAAAGAGCTATATAAATTTTCACTTATATGTACTAAATGTTACTTAATTTAGTACAAATTGGAATTGTGGTGAACCGATAGAACAGGAATTCTGAAATTTAGGAAATAAGATTTCTATAGGATTGTATGATTGAGGTATGTAGGTAATTTGGGAAATTGATACAAATGTGTAGTAAATTTGGTACAATTTACATTTGTGTGAACCAATAGGGCTGGAATCACGAAATTCGGAATTAAAATTAATGCCGGAGTATGTCAGAGTTATGTAGAAACTTTTGTAAATTTCAGATCTTTTTCTTTCAATTTTGGAGAACTTGTAGAGCTGGAGTCCTGAAATTTGGAATTAGTTTTGGAAATAAATTGTACAAGAGTACAAAATTGATTGTACGGATAGAGTTAGATTTCTGAATTAAGATTTTGGGGTTAGAACTGGTGTTTAGTGTTGGGATGGAGGTGGTTTTAGATGTACGAAAAGTACTAAATGGTACTAAAATTTGAATTATAGTCGATATTGGTGTTGGTCAATATTGGCGGCAGGGGTAAGGTAAGGCTGGCCTTTTGGAAATTCGTTATAAAAGTGTACTAAAAAGTACTAGATTCGTATCTTTTGGTATTTTTGAGTGGATATAGCTAAAATCTTGATATTTCGTAAAAACTTAAGTTTGTGAAGTGGGTGTTTTTGGAAATGTGTACTAAGTGTAACAACTGTACTTAAATCGGTACAATTTGGTTTGAGCTGAAAATTGGGGTCTCTGTTGGTGGCTAGGGTTGAGATGAAGAGTTATGTTTGGAAACTCATTCAGCAAGCATACGAAAGGTACTAAATAGTACTAAATTTGATATTGCGTGCACGGATTGTGCACTGTTAGTATGTGGTATTGACATTTGGGGGTGGTAAAATGAACAAAATGGTACTAAGTTTGGTATTTGGGGAAAACATTGATTTGGAAGTCTAAAGTTTGCCAGCAGAATCACCTTTTGTATGATTTGGTTGGTTTATTGGTATTTGGAGAAGGAATATACATGGAAATCTGAAATTTTGAATGAGAGTCTTTGATGTTGTGGTGGATGGACAGGGTAAAGGTTTTTTTTCGAAATACGAACAATAAGAGTACCAAAAGTAGTGAATGCACGATTGCACGAGTGAGGGGATGAACTCTATATTCACATCAGATATCTTTTTAAAATAATAAGGGATATAAATATTGAAAATTCGGTGGGTTGATATCTATTACCTTTACACCAGATTTTGTCTCAATAGACATATTGGGGTGTGTGAAATTCGAAAGGAATCGGATGCTTACTTCGCATCCGGTACCAGGAGGAGAGAGCCGATATATCCCATTTTCACAACATATCTTATCTTAGTAGAAATATTATAATATGTAAAATCTGAAGAGAATCGGGTGCTTATTTAGTATTTTATGAGGGATATAATAATTCAAAATTTTGACCCGTTGTGAGGGAGATACCAGAAGGAGGAGTCTGACATATTCCATCTTTAAACATGATTATTTTTTAATAGAAATATTGTGATGTGCCAAGTTTGAAAATAATCGGATCTTCGTTTCGCATTTTATGAGCTTCATAGTTATTCAAAATGTTGGCAGCTTTGTGGGACAGGTGCCAGAAGGAGTGGATCTTCAAAACAGATCTTGTGATATTAATAACATTGTGAAACTTGAAGAAAGTCGGATGCTTATTTCATATTTGATAAGTTATAAATATTAATAATTTTAATCCTTTGTGTGGTTGATATTGTCCATTGTGGTCGATATTGTCTATTTTCGCACTTAACATAGTTCTGATACAAATATTGGGACTTGCAAACATTTAACGAAAACTATGACCTTTTGTGGGGGGAGGAACCAGAAGAAAAAATTCCGTCGAAAAATACCGCTCCAATGAAACCCATTATATGGAGGCTATACGAAGACGTGGTCCTGCATAAGTAAGTTTTGTCATAGGCTGTAGTAACGATTCCGAACTTCAAATACGAAATCTGAAACAATTACGGTGAATAATGTCGCTAATATCATCAAAAGACCGAATAAAGGGAGGTACCGTACAAAGACGTGGTCCTGCATATACAATTTTCCTTCAAAGATTGAAGTAGCCATTGTGAACTTTAGATACGAAATTTAAAACAATTCCGGTGAATAAAGTCATGAAAATATCGAATATCATGAAAATATGGAATATCTGGGGGTATCGTTATATTGGTGCTATACTAAAACGTGGGTAATGTACTCAAAAAGGAACCCTTTTGTGGTTTTAAAGACAATTACATTCGAAAATTTGGCTGAAATCCTTAAAATATCGAATATCGATGGGTACCGTTATAGGGTGGCTATTCGACATCGTGGACATATATATAAAACACCGAGTATCGGGGGGTAACGTAATATGTATCTTCTAATTTGACATGTCTGCAGACAAAAGACAGATCTGTGCAAAATTTTAGTTTCCTATCATAATTCGTTTTGACTCTACCATGATTACAACAGACAGACGGACGGACGGACGGAGAGGTCTAAATCGTTTAAGAATTTTACGCTGATCAGGAATATATATACTTTATTGGATCTAAAGTTATTATTTCGATGAGTTGTAAACGGAATGACGGATTTAATATACCCTCCATACTATGTATGGTAGAGGGTATAATAAAGTTGGAATGTGCAGGACCAATATTTTTTATGCGTGCCCAAAAAGGGTATTCATAAACAACAATTCATTAAATTAGACGACGTGGCTAGCCTAAATTTTCCAAAAAACTATAGTAAAATTAAGTTTAGTTATATGATTAGAGCATATTGAGGTTAATTTACAGAAATAGCGCTTCGATTCATAGAACTTTTCCTACATGCACTTCACGAGTAGAGTGGGTATATTTCAAATCATATTACAATTTCATATATGTTACACGTTTTCCTTCTAGACTCATTTTACACATGCCATATACAATAAAATACAAATAATTACTATCCAATTTGCTGCACTTATTCTGATTTCAAAATTTCATTGAAAACCATTTGAACTCTTTAGGGAAATTCATTACAATTTAGTCTGTACATAAGTACCACAGCACGAAAACAAGTCGCTTTAAAAAGCGGACTTTCATTTCAGTTTGCAAGCGACGATATGATGAAGTACATACTTCTTTTGATTCTCATTCGAATAGAGGACATACAGACCGCTTCAATAGTTCAAGTAATTGAGAAAATACGAAAAGAATTTGATATTTATACTTTGCTTCTCTTTGTAAGTCATGATGCCACATCTGAGGCCTTGGATAGTCCAAGTCTGCCACAACTGGTTGTGGTTAATGAAACAGCCAAGGATTTGCGAAGATCGCAAGGACAGAGGGTTTTAAGTTTCATTCGACTAGAAACAACGGGCCTGGCCGAATTGAATGAAATCATAAAACCTTCTCTAATAAATCTTCATTTGGCTGATATTCTATTTTACACGAATTCAACATGGTCCGAGGAGACAGAATGGCAATGGCTATTTGAATGGTGTTGGTCGGAGGGATTCTGGCGTGTCCTGTTAATGAATGACGCCGCTCAGTTACTCTCCATGGATTGCATACCGGAAATGAGCATAACAAGTGTTACTCTCGAAGAATATTTCGCAAAGAGAAAACATCGCCTGGTTAATCTGCAGGGTTATCCCGTTAAGGTTGCCGTGGGTCACAAGCCACCCCGCGTCAGTGCCTTTTTCGATGACGAAGGAAATTTGCAAATGGGCGGTTATTATGGTCACATCGTCAATATGTTTGTAGAACAATTCAATGCAACAATGGACTACATCATCATGCCAAACATGTCCTCATACTCGGTATTGAGTTGCATAGACTCGATTCTGGAACAAACTTCGGATATCTGCGGTGATGCCATTTTGTTTGGCAATGGCATTGAAACCACGCGACCTCTACACGTTGTCTCCAGTCATTTGGTGGTGCCCTTCGATAAACCTCTGGAAAATTACAATTATTTTCGTAAGCCGTTCACCCTCGACGTTTGGATATGCATTGCAATTTCGTTTGTCTCTTCGGTGGTTTTGCTGCTGATAATCGAATACAAGGAATATGGACGTTTACGTTTGGTCAATAGCATCTTCACAACATTCTCCAGCTTTATATGTTCTTCGTTCAGTGTAGAGCATTTGTCGCCAAAGTATCACTACGGTTTGGAGACAATTTTAATTTTTAGCGGTTTCATGCTCTCCAATTACTATTTGGCGGTATTGTCATCACTTTTGCTCACGAAAATCTATGAAAGAGAAATCGATAGTATTCAAGATGTCTTGGACCACAACCTAACAATTGTAACCACCGAATTCCAGCAATATGTTTTGGAAGTAACTAAAGCCTCACCGCAGATAAGGCGACAGACCGTAGTTTTTTCCGAAGAGGAAGCCGTGGCTAATATGCGTAAACTGAATACGGAATATGTATATTTCGGCTTAAATGCCGAAATCGATTTTTTTCTCTATCAACAGAAATTTTTGTCTCGACCTCGAATGAAGAAACTAGCAGATGAAGCGGTGACCACCGATATTGGCGAAATTCCAATGCGGGCCTATTGGCCACTGCAAGAACTACTTATGTCTCACATGGAAAACATTTTTAGTAGTGGCATTGTAATGTATCTGGAGACAGAAACATTTGAGGATGGCATACGCCAAGGTGACATAGCCTTTATACCCAACAAAGATCTTTCGGTTGCGCCCCTGTCGTTGGAATATTTTGTTTTGTGTGGTTTACTTTTGGCTGGAGGTTACTCATTGTCATTTATGTGTTTTATAACTGAAATAATTGTTTATAAATATTGTGGTAGAAAATAAGGGGATCAAATGGTTTTATGCCAACCTCTTGGAAGTTGGAGGTAATAAAACGTATGATTTAATGTACTCGTGCTTTTATTTTAATGGCCTTGCCGATCTTTTTAAAATGGGATAGTATCAATTATACTTAAATCGTTTGTGTCGGAAATGTCACAAATTTTGGGTTAGTTTTATATTTTTGACGTTTAAAGATAAAAAAAGGTAAAGGTAAATCCTCAACTAGAAATTTTCTGAAATTTGGCATTCTGAGATTTGATATTTAGCTTTGTCTAATAATAGAAAAAAAATCTACGAAATACAGACAGTGGTGTAACATTATTATTAGGCGACTGTTAAAAGCTGAAGCTTTGCAACTTTGTACGAGGATCATACGTCATGCGCCGGGGCTGATATAAGGTGAAACAGTTGGAAATTCGTACTCCAAGGGTTCGATAAAGACCGCAAGATACATATTTTACAATACAAAATATGTATGTGTCTCATTAATGGGATTTTTCAGGAACCCATTCTTTAAAGGTACAAAAAGTATTACAACTAAAGTGGCCAAAAAATGGCACATGAGCTGGAAATATCGCAATATTCCATTCGGCAAATATTGAAAACTGAGCCAATGAAATTCCCAAAATTCCACCGCAACATGAAGAAAATAGACTCAAAAGTGCTAAAGAGGTGCTTCGCTTGGTCGAAAGTGGTGAACTGCCGAATTTGGGTTTCTCCGATGAGTCCAGCAGTTTGTAAACAAACAAAATGATCGTGTTTACTTGCCAAAGAGGTCAGCTGAAAATGTGCACCTGCGGTTGGCAACCAGAACTCAAGCACCGGTCATGGTGATGGTGTGGGCCGCCATAACAGCCGATGGTCGCTCTCCGCTCGTATCAATCGACCATGGCATCAGAATAAATGTAAAAATTGTGGCGTTTGACTTTGTTGCATTTTTATACCTTCCACCTTGGGAAGGAGGGTATATTAACTTTGTCATTCCATTTGTAACATCCTTAAATATTCGTCGTAGGCCCCATAAAGAATATATATTCATAATCACCATAAAATTCTAAGTCGATTTAACGATGTCCGTCTGTCTGTCTGTTCGTCTGTCTATTGAAATCACGATACAGCCCACACTATTTGACGTAGAGCACCAAAATTTGGCAGAGCAATTTGTATTGTGTCTAGGATGGTTGGCATTGAAAATGAAATATATCGGTAAACGTTTCGGTATAGTCCCCATATAACGGTACCTCCCTATATTCGGTATTTTGATGATATTTGTCACATTTTTTGCGGATTTGTCTGAAAAATTGTATTTGTAGGTCATAACGGATCCTAGTTCGTGTGGGGAGACATTGCATGTGTAGGTCCACGATTTGGAATAGCCCCGATATGAAGGTACCGGGATTTGGTACCCCCATTAGGGGTTCTAGCTCCTTTGGCGAAACATTGTATGTATAGGTCCACGTTATTGTATAGCTGCATATAACCGAATTTCCCGATATTCGGCATTTTGATGATTTTTGGCACATTTTCCCATGAATATGTCTAAAACTTGGTATTTGTGGGTCATAATGGGCTCTAATGTTTCCTTTACCCTAAGGTGGAGGGTATTAAAAGTGTGGCCCGGCCAAACTTACTATTTTTTAATTGTTTTACCTCACCCTGTGTACTCTACTAAAATCAAACCCAGAGTTGTAGGCTAGGTCTGAAAAGACTGCATAATACACTTCAATTTTGCTGAGAACCTAGTTATTGTAATTTTAAACGAATTGAGAAAGGCGATGAACTATCAAGAAAGGGCTCAAAGTAAAAAATATAAGTTTCTACATACTGGGAACACAATGTGTGTGTGGTACAGCTCATTCGGGCTTAAATTGTAACAAAAAGAATCAAATGACCGCACAGTTATATGTGACTATACCTTTACAAACTCAAAACATCAAGTTTAGATAACTCTGTTGAAAATCGTCAATATACTGCAAATTGTGAGTTACCATTATATAGGGAATGTACAGGCAATTTCACATTTCATGTCATAGGAAAATTCCGAATTTGGTGTTGAAAAATGCAGCTAGAATCAAAAAAACGTGGGCCACTACATTCAGTTATATGCTAGAGAATGCGACGTCTATTACGAACGCTAAATACCAAGTTTAAGATAATTCCGCTGAAAAAAAAAATCAGCTAAAATCATCAAGGGGCTGAATATTGTAAAGTACCTTTATATGGACAACAAGGGGTGGATCTGCACAGGAAATTTTCTGTTAGAGGAAGTAGTAATCATTACGAACTACAGATACCAGAAATAATTTTTTGAAAGCCAAACCCAACCTAAAGACCACAGGTCTGCCGGTACAGTTATACCTACGAGAGCAATACCAAAACGGAGACCTATATATCCCATTTTCAGTACTAAAAGTCCTGCAGACCTAAACACAGTAAAATTTCAACAACCTACTTATTTTGGTTACAGGCCACACGGGCAAACAGACGGACGAAAATAGCTAAATCGACATATCGTTTTGCTGATCTAAAATATACATGTATACTTTGTAGAGTCGAGGTGTTACAAACGAAATGACAAACCTAATATACCCTTATATTTTACTTTTTGGTGTTTCTGGTGAGTATTATGAGGTGCTGCAAATTTTAATTTAATTTTAATTATATAGTAAAAATATATACTCTATTCGGAATAAATTGTACATTCGCATGAATTACAAAATCACTAAGTCTCATAAGTACTTTATACTTTAGCATCGAACTTAAGTCGCAATGGCACTGCCTGAAAAATGCAGCTATGGCGGAAATGGTTTAGCACGATTATTTAGCAACTAAAAATCTAATTTGCTTTGAGAATATGTCTCAACTCCTCGATGAGTCTGGCGGGGCCGATTTTATGATACCCTACACCACTTTGCTAATTTAGTAGAGCTCCACATAACAATTAAAAGTTTTTATGAGAGAATTCAATCATACACGCTATGATTATATTTATAATTTAAAGTTCATAGGACTAAACATGCCGAAGCATTTGTATCTGTTAAATTCGGATTTGTATTGCCCATTTGGTGCAAAATTAATTTGAAATCATATAAAGATATATATGGGAGCTATATCCAAATCTGAACCGATCTCGATAAAAATTGGCAAAGGTATTTCTGAGCTGTATTTGATATATTTCCCAAAATATTGTTGTTACAGATTACATATTACGGCTGTGGGTAATAAATACAATATTTATGGGAGCTATAGCTATATCTGAACCGATCTTCACCAAATTTGGCATACTACCTTCTAGACTCAATTCGGTCGCATGTGCCAAATTCCATCCCATTTGGGCAAATATTAGACGTTTGGTGCACAATAAAAGGTAAATCGGACGATGTTATATATGGGAGCTATATTCAAATCTGAACCGATCTCGATAAAATTTAGCAAAGGTATTTCTGAGCTGTATTTGATATATTTCCACAAATATTATTGTTACGGAGTGCATATTACGGCTGCGGAGGACAAAAATAACAAATCGGATGAACAATATATATGGGAACTTGTAGCTATATCTTAACCGATCTTCACCAAATTTGGCATACTACCTTCTAGACTCAATTCGGTCGTATGTGCAAAATTCCATCCCATTTGGGCAAATATAAGACTTTTGGTGCACAATAAAAAGCAAATCGGACGAAGATATATATGGGAGCTATATCTAAATTTTTACCGATTATCCCCAATTTCAATAGGGTTCGTCCTTGGGACAGACGGACGGACTGACATGCATAAATCAACTCAGAAAGTGATTCTACGGAGATCCTCAAAAGTGACTATGGGTCTATCTCGCTTCCTTCTCCATGTTACAAACAATTACACAAAGAGGTAGGGTATTAAAATCATAGCTCAAAATATTTCAAATAAACTGATATCAATCAATTAAACCTAATTTATGCATTTGTCTGCATGTACCTAAATAGCCAGATATAATTACATCCAATATCTTATAATTCCATTTAATTTCATAAGCATTTCACTTACCAACATTGTTGCAGCTTTTGTCATTTCGAACTGGTGCTTCATCCAATTTTGATGCTGTTGCTGACGACATTTCTTGTGACATTGACGGCAAAATGTTTTCACTCTTGATATCCAAAATAAAACAAAATTGTCTTTCTATCTGCAATTGCAACACGGCGAATCAGTGTCTGTATCTCTTTGTGGCAACTTAGTATGACGATGTATTTGACGGTTTTAGATGTGCAGACGTTTTTTTTTTTCTTTCCTGACAACAGCGCCTCTATGTCTTCTGAAATAGAAACGAAAATTGTGAATTGATAATAAATATATAGAAAACCAATGGCCTACATAGTTTGTATTTGGTTTGTAAATAATCCAAATTTACGTAACGCAAGTTTGGGGAGAGAGAGCAGTAAATGGGAAAATGCTCGACAATTCAACGAATTGCAACGAAAAATTAAAATCTGTTAAAATCTTAAAAATACCGAATATAACAATTATCTTAGGGTCTATACGACGACGTGGACCTGCCTATGCATTTGAATGCGAAACTTGAAAAAGAAAATAATGTAGCTAAAATCATCAAAATTCCGAAAATAGGAAGGTACCATTATATGGATGATATACAAAGACGTGGACCTGCGCAGATAATTTTCTGTCGCAGGCTGCAGTACCCATTACGAACTTCAAATATCAAATATGAAACAATTCCGGTGAATAATGTCGCTAAAATCATCTAAAAATTAATATCGGGAGATACCGTTATATGGGGCTATACGAAGACGTGGAACTGCGATTTTCTGTCTTAGGCTCTAGTATTCCTTACGAACTTCAAATATCAAATTTGAAACAATTCCGGTATATAATATCGCTAAAATCATCAACATACCGAATATCGGGGGGTACCTTTATATGGGGGCTATACGAAGACATGGACCTGCACAGAATTTTTTTTTTTTTTTTTTTTGTCTTAGGCTGTACTATCCATTGCAAAT